CTTAAAATATCAATCAAACAATCATTTAGATGCAAGCCAACTTGTTTTATTAAGAAAATAATACAAACCTTTATTCTTTTCCTTACATAAAACTCAAGTTTTTTGGTATTTGAAGGGAGATCTTTACTACCTTGGTAACGTTTGGCAGCCCTATAAGAATTAATCATATATATCAACTAAAAATTCTTACTCTAATTTTTATAATAGACATGTATAAAGAATATAGAATAGAAAACTTACTAATTAAATAATATACTCATAGATATGTACGTTTAATGCCATTTACTGGTATTTGATTTAATTTGCTAGAAAGAGTTTCCTAACAAAGACACAACTCGAAATCTTTTGATCCCATCATACTTTCCAAGTACATCCATAATTTTAATCTCTAGAGGAAAGTTCTTTAAGTGGGAGAAAAATTATAGAAACAAAAAAAAATGAAAATTAATTAGGAATATCTTATCTTAATTATTATAATATTTGAATTATTGTTATCTTTCAGCAATTACTGTAATATTTACATTTAATTTTAGAATTTTTAAAATATTCTAATATTTAATTCTAGAGTTAGGTTAAAGCCTATGCTTTATAACTCATTAGCTTTGTACATGCCTTTGAATAATTAAGAATTACAATTATTTTGTCTCTCCTTTCAATTTATCTTTTTCCTCTAACGTTCTCTATTCTCTTTCTACTCTCCCTTGTTTCTTCTCTTCTCCATTTGCCCTTTCCCATTCTACATCAACTTTTTCTCATGGCCATTCTAATACCTCTTGAGTTAGTATAAGACTTAGATCACTATAGAAAAATGTAAATTAGCGAGAGAATTTAGTGAGGGATCATCTATTCCTCTCCAAAATACCAAATAATTAGCGAGAGATGTTGATTTCATAGCTTGACTTAAAATTAGCGAGGAAAATAGTGAAGAACTATCAATTCCTTTCTAAAATAAGAGAATTAACGGAGAAAATAGCGAAAGACTGTCAATTTCTCTGTAAAATAAGACAATTAGTGAGAAAAATAGTGAGAGGCTATCAATCCCTATCTAGAATAAGACAATTAGCAAGAGATTTCATCCTTAGCTAATTACTACAAAAAAATTTAACTTTTGGCAATGACTTTTAATTACATATTTAATAAAAATAAAAATTAAATTTAAAAATTAACTAAAATATTCATAATAAAATTATTTAATATTTAATATTTTCTTTATTTTAAGTTTCTTTTTATTAATAAAATAAATTTTTATTAAAAATATAACTTAAAGAATAATTTAAATAAAATATAAATATTTTTAACATATTAATAATTGAAAATAAAATTTAATATGTATATATGTGTGTATTTTTATAATATATTATTTGATATATTTATGTAGGTAAATAATATATATTTAATTTCTCATATAATGACTACAGATACCTTTCAATTCAACTAGCAAAGAAAGAAAGCATAATACTTAAAAGGTATGAGGTTAAGGGTTCAAGTCTTAATTTTTGCATAAACATAATGGACATGTGACAAGGAGTAAGTGACATGATACAAAGTGGACAATGATAAGTCATGAGTTGTCACGCATGTGGCAAGTGTTAGAGCACAAGGTGGTATGTGACATAGCAATTAACGAGGCACAAGGTTGTTGGTGATATGTCACAAATTGACGTACACATGACGGGTGATTTAACATCATCATTTTTAAATATAAATATATTTAGTAAGAGATTAGCGAGGGGCTAATCCCTCGCTAAAGTTATTGAATTTTGAGTAACATTAGCGAGGGATGTAGTCCTCACTAAAAATTAGCCAGGGATTAAATCTTTCGCTAATCAGCGAGGAAAATATGATTTCTCGTTAAATTTAATGAACTCTTTTTTAGCTATGAATTTAACAAGGGACAAAATCCCTCACTAAAACGCAATTTAGAGAGGAAAAATGGCATGTACCTTGCTAAATTCCATTTTTCTAATAGTGGATTGCTTTTCTTATATGTACAGTATCCACACTTATTAAAACTGAAAATTGATATCATAAAGACACTAGCTAGCTATACATTCAAAGTAAATCATCCTTTTGCCCATATATCATTTAGATAGGAAACAGCAGTTTTCCTTGGATAACTTCTTTAGATCATGCCTACCATGATTATAGGATATATATGGTAAAGTAGTAGGCTGTATAACTTATCTCCATAATATTTTCAAATCAAAGGACATCAATAAAAAGATTTATTATTTCCTTTAATTTACAAGACTCACACTATAATGAAGCAAAGATCTTTTTACTTGATTTCGAAATGTAGTTATTTAATGTGTGTGTGTGTGTGATTGATGTCACTCTTATCTCATAAGAGCATATGTCGGATTTATTTTCTCATTAACATCATATGGGCTTAATTAAGTATAGACACACTCATTTCACATGATGTCAACCTTGAAGAATTTTGCTGTCTAGCTATAGGCCGGCATCATGCATGGATGTGAGAATCTACAATTTGATCCATATATGGTTATGGATCTTATCTCAATTTACTCTTTTTTTAATGTTGAGATGACATGTAGTCTGTTTCTTTTTACCAATTTAACCACCCTTGCTATCTTACTGGTGAAACCAATTGAGGTTGATGATAATGGAAGGAAAATGACAACCCAGAGGCAAATTTGGTGGGCGTTTAGGCGTTGAGTCTATCAACTCCAAAATCACTAAGTTGTTGGTTGAGGTCTCAAAAGAACCAATGAAAAAATTAAATAAATTATTTTTATTTTTTATTTGACTTTCTATCTTGGTTATGCATACAGCTGGTGTAGAAAGTATAAAAAATAAATTAATTAAAAAAATCTGACTTTCTATATTATTAGACACAAACAACGAAGAAAAACAAGCAATTTTTGAAAAAAAAAATATCTTTAACTTTTTATTACACCGTTTACTATTACAATTGGTGTAGATTTTTTTTTTTTTTGGTAACAATGCCACCGTGTACGCTTTCTATATCGATTTTGTTTTTTTAACTAGTTTAAAGTGCAGATGTAAAAGTCGTTTAAAATAAGAGATAGATGGGATAAATGTCTTGATCTTGAATTTATGGTTTCTTTCTTCCCTCTAAAAGGAAGTTATTGCATGAAGTTTTGTTTCAAATTTTTTATTTGGCTATGTTAGTTTAATAATCACATTGAATTCAATAATAAATTGAATTATTGAAAGATTTGCTAACTAGCCACAAAATGACCATGTTCCATGTACTCTTGGGCCACAGAATTTTCTTTGGATAAGGGTTGCTGAACAATGGTCCAAAGCCCAGGCCCATGGTGTTTTTTTTTTTTAAAAGAACCTGTTAAATGTTCAAACATGCCATTGTGTTTTACATGAGATCACGAAAATAAATAAAATATATTGTATAAAAAATTAAATTAAATTAAATTGAACATAGTTCTAATTTTCAGAAAAGAATATCATGATCCACCTTGATCACAGAACAGGGATGACTACATCAAGAAGTAAAATGTGCGATGGAAGAAAATTAAGAAAATTTTATCACAAATTAATTTTGTCCATATCATTCTTTTATATTATCCTCCATTTATTCATCTGTTGAACACTGCTTGGTAAGTACATAAAGTTGAAGCGTATTGAAGGAGTCTAAGAATTCTAAGTAGCCTCCCATTAATTAGTTACAATAATTCCAAAGATGATACAAGTAAAATTAAATGGATAAAAAAGGCAAATTCATTTCACCGGCAAAGAAAGGCCCCACAAGAAATGCTTCTCTTACCCGACAACACCTCATTGATAAGGAAATTGTAAAGATTTTGGACACCTTCAATAGTTGAAAATTCAGAAATGTGGTCCACACGGCTTGTCTTTTCCTGCTAATTTTTCTTCTTTTAATGTTTTTGTTGTATTTCTAACATGGTAAACTTTTCCCTTATTGTTAATATATTTACCTTTTACCAAAAAAAAAAAGAAAAGCTTGTCCTAATATTCAGCATCTCAAGGGTAAAAATGACGTTGTTAGGATCCTCCATTCTATTAACCTTATTGTTTTCTTTGGTATATTTAAGCTATGCATCAAGTTTAAAAGAATTTATGGCAAAAAATATTTCAGAGTTGGGAATTTGTCCTGAAATTAGGCTTTGGCTAGCTATAGGTTTACACATTGTCCGTAGATTTTTGATTTTGGGACAAAATTGCACCTTTGATCTTTTAATTTCATCTAAAATTTTGTTTTGATCCTATAATTTTATAAAATGTCTAACCTTAATATTATTGGTTTCATTAACAAAAATATCTACATTAAAATTTCAAATTTTGATAAAACATTTTCAAATATTGATATATTAAGTTTAACTTATTTAAATAAATAACAATGATTGATTAATGGTATTAGGGTAAAAAAATTGAAAACATACTTTATAAAATTAAGTAAATAAATCATAATCCTTCCATTTAAGAATGTAAGACATTTTTTATATACTCTCTAATAAAGTAATTATCTGTTTTCAAACTAATATTATCTTTTCATATTTACCTTTATTTAAGAGGGTGTTTCACTTTAAAATTAATATAAAGTGATATTTAGTAAAGGTACTTTTAAAAAAAATACATTAATTATACTTTAAAACATAAAAAATGTCTTATATTTTTTAATATTCAAATCCTTAAAAATGTCTTACATTTTTTAACGGAAAGAGTATAAGTTAAAAGACCAAATGTGCACTTTATCATATACTCAACTTCAATAATATCCTCAACTTCAAGCACATTTGATTAAAACACCAAAATTACATGTCATTTGTTACAATGAACACTTGGAATGACTAAAATTTAGAAATTGAAAGAAAACCACAAGGTTAAGACCTTAGGATAAAATGCGGAGCTTTATTCACCCCAGTTTAAATTTAATTATTTCTGCATATTTTAAATTTTTTTTTTTTATTATCAGGCATACAGTCTAGAGTCTGCTGAGCTAACCCTGGTTGGGAGAATAAAGATACAGAACACGCTTGAAGAAGCAACCTTACTAACGTTAATCTTGTCATCACCCACATTTTATACAAATAGTCATATCCAAATCCTTTCAGATAAGAGAATGAATGTCCCAACCTTGACAGTTGGAATTCTTTCTATAGTAGATGCAAATTGCAATTTACCAACAAGCACCAAAGAGTCATTTCATGCATGAAAGGTGATTATGCTATGAATAGTCCTTGATCTACCAGAGTATAATCTGCTGAATCATGTAGGTGACTTGAAAGTTCTGCAACAAGACCTGGATCATAATACTCTGGCATCTCTATATTCTCCAGTCCCCAGTTCATATTGTAGCGTTCAGCTTGCAGCCAATAGAAGTGCAAGTCCTCATCCGAAGGTTCAGAAGCCACCTCGCCTCCCAAAATTAGGTTTTCAGGGTAAAATTCTAGATCAGAATTGCAGCCTAGATTGAAGCCCTGAGTTTTCATGCCCAAATTCTTAGTTGAGGTTGGTTCTGAGAGCTGAACATTCTCCATAAAGCTCTTGGACTGAGTAGGAAAGGTGTCCACTACACTCCCTATTGAGCTCACAGGACTAGCATAACCACTTTTGAAATCAGCATACATGGGCTTAGTTTCAATACAGGCAGCAATCTCTCCCTCTGTGATAGAGGGGTTGGAACTAACTGAAGCATTTGAATGTGATTGGTCAACTTGAATCGGGTGCTTCCTGACGTGTAATGGTAACTGGCTGAAGCTATCTTTTAATTGAAGAAATGACTTGTGTTCTTTCTGGAGTGGCATTTCTGGAGCTTCACTCCAGCTGTACTGTGTTGTTGGGATGGTGCAATCAAATACTGTATGGCTTCCTTCTGACTCAAGAGGTCCAAAAGAAGAATGGTTAAGGCTTATATTGGAACATACCTTTGCATCAGGAATGATGCTAGACAAAGCTCTTCTTTTTTCTGATGCAGAATCTGAAACAATAGCCTTTAGATCACCGTCGTGAATCTTCGTTTCAGAAGCATGACTCTGTAACGTTACATCTGAATATTTGTAGCTGTTAACTGCAACATCATTTTGCTGCCTGTTTATTGAGTTCTGAAATCCAAAATTTCCTGCAGAGTCTTTTAGAGGAAAATCCGATGGCTTGGTCCCACTTGAGGAAGATCTCTGATCGTTTTCTTTCTGCAACCTACTCAAGTAGAGCCGGTATTTCTGCAGAAAACAATTTTCTCTATCAGGCCTCATTGTTTTCAAACATCAAACTAATTAGAGAACAACAATTTTCTCCAAAATTTGTTTAAAGACCAATGGTGGGGAAGTTGTTGCACGACACGATCCAAGTTTCTTTCCTGATAATCTTCAGTGATAATGTATTAGGTGTGTGTATGACTGTGTGTGTAATATCAATTAGCTACTGAGGCAATGCACAAGACCAAGACGCATATACCTGCAAGTGGCTAGCAACATTTTCTCTCGTCAGCCATGGGACATTCATCAAATCTAGAATTCTCTTGGGGCCAACTTCTGCCAAACAGAAGATAGACATTAATAATATCCTTATGCTTGAAAGACAAAATGGCCATATTAGCCAAAAATATTATGCTTTGGTACCACACTTTTGAACAGAGAGAGGTCAACTAGATTTTTCTCTTTGGTTGTAGATTTCAAATTAAAGTCAAAGAACTTACTGTCAAATCCAATCTGGTTTACTGCTTTAACAAATTTCTGATGAAGATCCACAGACCAAACTACTCTAGCTTTCTTGGTGGAAGATGGATCTCCGTATTCTTTGTCATCATGCTTGTTATCAAGGTCTTTTCTTTTCTTCATGGAGGTCATATCTTCTAGGGCAAATGACAACCCTTCATCAGACTGATCTGATCCGTTTCTCATTAAATGAATGCCCTCAAATCCTTCGTGACCTTCAAATTCTCTTGCCTCATGAATCCTCTTTCTGAACACATGTTGCCATATGTTTCGCAGTTCTTTCATTCGAATTGGCTTGAGGAGATAATCACATGCTCCATGTTGAACACCTTTCATCACCCTGCTTGTTTCTCCATCTACCGACATCACTGCCCAGCATTACAAATTGCAGCTTGTCAGTGCATGAACTTTTTGAGTCAATGTGATCAAAGATCATTTAAAGAGATAGTTGGATATATAATTCTAAGGGAACTGACTAATGACAGGAAGATCCATCTCAAGTCCAACATGCTCAAGAAGTTTAAAGCCATCCATGTCCGGCATGTTTACATCGCTGATAACAATGTCGTATCCATCTTTTCTTTCGCGAAGCAAGTTCAGAGCCTCCCTAGCTAAACCACATGTAGTCACTGAAACATGAAACACAAAAAATCCGAGTCATTGTTAGAAATCAGGCAATGCAATGGCAAAGCATACCAAGAAGGGCGATGTCCAACAGGGACACTGCGATTTGTAATATTCAAGGAAAAATACAGTTTATTAATGCAATATAGAATTAGAATAACTAAAACGACAGGAACAAGCTCGTGAAATAATGACTGCATTAGGCCAATATGATTAATGACTTGAAGGCCAATTTAACATGTTGATTATCAGATAATCATGAAAACACCTTTAGTAGTGTGGTAAAAACTCTAACCGGTAACAGTGCCTTTTAGATTAACCATCACGCAGCGTTTTCATTGTCCAATCTCAAAGCAACCATATCAATAGTTCAATCATGTTTCAAGGGTACTTTTAATAATCACAATCGTACATTATGATATGTGTATTTTCATGCGCATGTTAATGAAGAACTATTAGATGCTCAACTACAGGCAAGCTGCAACACCAGATTTGAATTGGCCTTTTACATGAAGAAGACATAACGCTCATAAGATTATTTGAGTCAGATTCTAATATAATATTACGTGGTCTGCTTCTGGTCTTCAATGAGGGAAAACCTTCTTCATTTTCATTTTCAAACTGTTACCGAAATAAGGTTAGCTAAGACTTGTCAATCGAGCTATTTAGACACCACCCAAGTTGGGCAGTCTCAACCTTCAATTTCATAGGAACGGGAAAAACAGATTTGTAACTTTGCTTAACTAAATTGAACCAATGGCCCAAAGCTTAAGTACAAAAGGTAAATATATATACAATTTTTCCCATGTCAGTTCTTTAATATTACCACCGGATACGAATGCAATATCTTTTGCATGTATCGCATTCGTATCTTACAATTGAAGATGACACTGAAACTGTATAATCTCACTTACTTCAGTTACTTATAATACTTGAAAGATTCAGTCTTATATTTTGTTATGGTTGTAACATACCTGCAGTTTTATCTTACAATCAATTAGCCTACTAACAAGTGTATAAAAGCAAGCAAGGGAAACTTTCCTCTTTCATGAATGTGAGAACCAACTATACAGGTTTCCGATGGACAGAGAGAAGAGGTCATTAAACTAGTTAACTCTAAAGATGCCATTACAGTTGAGAGATCAAAAGGAATCAAATTCGACAAAGGTGCTTCTGTTTTTTACATTCTCTATATTGCTCTTCCACAGAAAGCCATATTGGATAAAGACTCATGACAACATAAAACACAAAGTGTAAAACTTGATGATGACCCCGTTCAATCTACCATACAAGAACAGAACCCAGAGCGATCAAGCTTTTTCTTCTTGACAAGTTTCTCACTTTAATAAACCCATATGGTTAAATCACTAAGAAACACTTCAAATTCAACCAGAAAATTAAAACGCATGTAATCATCATCAGAACTATCCTTATTTAACCTAAAATTAGCTAAATATTCAAAGCCTTATTACATAACCATGAGGGAACCTTTTTGGTAGCACATTAAAGAGAGAAGCTGAAACAATAAAGCAGAATCAATATGACTTATCCCAAAACATATCAAATATTCAAAAACTGGACCGAAATCGGGACACCGATAATTAAACCAACAGACAGAGCACAATTTTTTTTTAAATTACATTATATGTTTAATCCCCTTGCTGAAGGATTATTACACTGATATGCCATCAGCACGTTATATAAGTAGCAGAAACAAGAAAGGAAAAAAAAAAACAGAGCATAGAAGCGGGCAAAGAATGAAGAAAACCTTCATAGGAGCACTTCTTGAGCATCTTTTCAAGGATCCTGATCCATGTCGGGTCATCATCAACGACGAGAACTCGCAGACCAGCTGGAAAATTGTCGCGTCGTGGAGAAGAGAAACCACTGTCCATGTTTGTTGAAAGAGAAGGCTGTAGCACAGTCGGGATTCAGATTGAGAGAGAAGTGAGTGAGCTAAGGACGAGCTTTCCTGTGAGAAATGAAAAAGGTGGCTCATTTGGGATTTTAAACTGAGTGGCGAAAAACAAAAAGAAAAAGCAGAGAGAGAGAGTCCACCAACGAATATTGGCGCCGGATGGCTAACCGTTCCCGCGGCGCAGGATAGTTTGTAGGGAAAACTGGTGGGGGTTCCAATTTTTTTTTTTAAGAAAATGGAATTTATAAAATAAACTATAATATTTATATTTCATGAATAATTTAATTTATTATATTTTTTTCTAATTAACTAAATTCAAGTTTGTTCAGGTCTAGGCTGAGTATGATTTTAAACATAATTGATGTCCTAATATTTTAATTTTAAAAATACGTTTAGATGCTTCTAACATTTGGAATTTAAAAAGCTAGATACATCTATTTTTTGAAATACACAAATTGATTTCATTTATGTTAATTAATTCATTTGTCTAATTATTATACATTTCATGATTTATGAATCGCCCCAAAAAAATATAATTAATAATTGATTTTAGTCAAAATAGTACCCAATGAAGATTTAAAATGTTCATGTTAGTATGGGAAAAAGATGTTAATACCAGCCATGGAATAAAAAAATTTAAAAGTTATTTTACTTTTAAATTTAAAAAACTAATGTTAACTTTTAAATAACAATATTTTAAACATGTCCTCACTTGAATTACAAGGCAGCTTCACCAAGCTTAGATAAAATTAAAACTTATTATTATGTGATAAATTAAAATTTGGGTGAGTTAGGATCAAAGCATGCTTATAAATTCAAAGAGCGCTTAGAGAGGTTGCTCACCAATAAGATCTTCACATCAGATATGGGATTTGGAAGTCTACACATCCTAGATCTCCATGCAGGCATAAGCAACCTTCAAAGAATGATGATGATGACCATGGCCTCCAGCAATCTATAAAAAGAAAATGGGTTAAGACCCCCAAATTCTCCTAAAGAAAGGAATATTCTTTTTGAGCTCCTTCAAGAACTTGGTCATGAAGACCTCCTCCCACTTGAGAAGCCAGATCTAGCTGTACCTTTTAAACTGAATCAACCTTTGTTAGTGTTTGAATTTTTTTTGAAAAATATATTTAAAATGATGAAATGAAAGGTGGAAGAATGATTTGCTTTCTTAACATGATTATTATTAATAAAAACATGATTTTTTTATCTTTTTCTAATGTTGTAGAACAAAAGTTAACAAACCATTAAAAAGATATTTTTATTTTTAAAAAAATTCAGAACAATTTTTAACATTTTTTTCAAATCTAATATCAAAAAATACATTTTGAAATAGGTTTTTTTATCTTTTTGTTTTGGACAAAAGTGAAAATTAACCTCTAACTTTTAAAAACAGCATAATATGGATTTTACTATTTATAAAGATTAACTTTGACTACTAGTTGATTAGAAAATAATAAAAACAGACCTCAAAAATTATCAAAAAGGACCAATGAAATTTTTTGGTCCCTTTTTGTACTTTTTGGGTTTTTTATTGTAACTTTTTGTCATTTTATATAATTTTTAAGATTATTTTTTATTATTTTCTTATTAAAGTTAACTTTTATTAACGATAAGAGTTAAATTATACTATTTTTAAAAGTTAAAAAAATTGTTAGGTTAGATTGCATTATTTTTAAAAGTTGAAAAGAATATTACACCAAAAATGAGCTTGAGATCTTAAATGATTCTAGACCAATATTTTAGGAGCAAATGTGATATTTAAACATTTATTTTAAAGAAATTTGAAAAGTAAAATATTAAAAATGCCCATAGTTTTTTATCATTATAATTTTGATCAAACATGGGTCAAGATCTTGGTAGTTTATTAATAATACTCATTATTTATATACATTTCTTAACTTATTTTCATCATTTTTACACGCCTAATGCATTCATATTACATCCATTATGCATATTTGCCTAAGTCTACAAGTTACATGCATTAGGGGTATTTTAGTAATAAAATGTACTTTTTCACAATTATGAGGTTAAGCATTGGAATTATTTTTTTGATGAGCTAAGATGATTGATCAAATTAATTTTCATTAATTCATCTCAAATTAAAGTTATTAAGAAAATACATACTTTAATATTGTCTCTCTAAGGGCTTTCATTTAGGTTTAAGTTTTAGTTCAAATGTGCGCATCTCTACACTTGTTTTTGTGAAGCTTTTCTATTCACATTCCTTTATTCATTTAATTACCTAGGTCTTATTAAGTATTTCTTACCTTAGCCTAGTTAAATATATATCACACTATAGTAAATTAATTATTTAATTAAATTGTGACATAGGTGAATTAATGTGAGATATAAAGACATAGTTCAAAGCAAATCAAAGAGTCCTTCAAAGGTAAAGAGTGGCATGAAATGAAGACTCATGAAGGTGCAAGTTAAGCAATTAAAGGTGCATTGCAATGGAAGATCACATAGGAATTATCATCAGTTCCCTCTAAAGTTGGGTGTTAGTTTTTGGCGAAGTCAATTCTTGTTGGGAGACCGCAACTACTTGAAAAGTTTCTTACAATTTCCTTCAGTTTCTCCTTACCCAATTCATATATTCTCATTCTCAATTCAAATTTCTCTTAATTCTCTCACCTTCAAATATTCTCTCTCTCACTTTCTCATTTGTACATCAATTTTCTTTTCCATTCAATCCACCACATTTCTCACATCTCTTCACCAAATCAAACAAGATCACTCTCATTCTTCTCTGCTCACAATTGTTGTCCAAAATCTCCCATTTATTTAATGATTGAAGGCTCAAATTAACTATTTAAGGAGTCACCAATATGTTGCCAAATGAGGAAGAACTTGGAGAGTTCAACAATGGAGATGAAAGGCTAGAGATCAAGGAAGATTTCTAAGAGGAAGATGAAGGAGATGGAGTCCATCTAGTATACACTTGGCTAAGAGCTTTCTAAACTTATTCTCTTCTTGTTTTACTTCTTATTGTAATGCTAGATCTAGGTTGCAATTTGATTGGCTTATGAATCTAATTTGAGTTCATTATCTTTGTAATGAGAAAAGGCTTGGTTGATTCTATTCTCTTGCTTTGAGTCAATGTATATCTCATCCATAGCTTATTAACATATAATCTTGTGTTGATAATTGATATGATATGTCTTGAGTTTACCTTTACATAATCTTGTGGGTTGATTCTTAACTTATATTAGAGTATTGCATAATGTTATGATATTCCTATGTCATTTTCCTGCATTGGCAGTTGCTAGGAGTAGAAAAAACACAATAGGACACTTGTGAGACTTAATCTTCCTTAATCTAGGAGATTTGGTTTAGGTTGGCTAGCTAATCTAACTGGATTCAAATGAATCTAGGAAGAGCATAATCTAGCAAGGTGGGTTACTTATTTAATTAATGAAGTGAACAATGAAATCTCCAACATTCGATTTCTAGGGGTTTCCATATTTGTCATAAAGGTAATTCATTCACTTAGTGGTTTCGTTTATATTAGTATTTTTGATAGTTTGGTTTAGTCAAATTCTCACAACTTTGAATAATGTGTAGCCTTGATAACCTCAATTAATTTAGCCACTTCTAAAGAAATGACCTAGGTTGCACCTTTTATTACATTTAGGGCTAGACTTAATACTATTTTGTAAGGTAGGCGAATAGCCTTGTCATTTATCATCAAGAAATCAATCTTTAGAATTATGCTTAGTTTTGATCAGAAACTCCAAGAACAAATTAAATTTGTTAATGATCAATATTACAAAGACTTGAAACAAATTAATCACAACTATTGGGATTAAAAACTTATATTTTTCCCGAAAGCTAATTTTGATAATAGAAATAAACATTATTTGAAATATATTTTTCTTCAGCAAGATGAATTGTATTGTTGAAGTCACGACGGAAAAAAGAAAGGAAAGGAGAAGAAAATGGTCCTATCGTATGCCTCTCTTTGAGACTTGAAGATGGAAACGAAACTCATTGTCTTTTTCTTTGTCCTCAATATATCCTTTTTGGCCAGCTTCACGTATGTATCACAATACAAGAGGCGAATCAATATGAAAATCAATGCTTTTAGCAAATATACTATTTATAAGTAAAAATAGCGTAGATCCTGTCAAGTCCTATACAATTTTTTTATTCTTAATTCCAATCTTTCTCTTTATTCTTTTATTTAGTTTGATTTAAGTTTTTTTATTTCTCCAACCTTTTTCTACACATTTCAAACAAATTTAAATAATATTAAAAAAATTAGGTTTTATCTTATGCTTCTCAGTTTTCTCCACATGTTGAGCAAACGTAGGCTTTCATCTTTTGCTTGTCAATTCTCTCGCCCTTACCTTCTTACTCAAAAGAGGACACTCCCATTTGATATGACCAATCTTTTAATATCTGTAATAAATAATTTGATCCTTATCGTCCTTCTTAATTTTCTTCTTATAGTGTCGTTCCTTAGAAATCTTATGTTGTTGAGTTTCCTTTTTTGAGAAATTTTTCAAAATCACTTAACAAAAATTAATAATATGCTGGTGATTCATCTCCGCTGTCTTCAAATTCTTCTCTTAACGCCGCTGAGTATGTATGTGGCCTTGAATGCCAAAGACGTTTTTTTAATCATGATCCTACTTGAGCATGACTTGTTTACCTTGATGCTATAGCAGCTATCGATGAGCTCATTGAATCTCCTCTTGTTTCTTCAATAGTAGTATTGCCATTCAACAAGGATAGCTCTCATGATTTTTCTTACTTGTTCTCTTTGAGGATAAGTCATTCTAAGTGCAACCATAGTTGATTAATGATATATATGAGAATATTTGATTTCCATCTCTTTGATTGTTTCACCATTCATTACTAGAAAACAGGTGATTTGCGATGAAAATTATATTGCCTTAAATTTGTGATGGAATTTCAGTTCCAACCTATTTGCAACAGAAATTGCGATGGAACCCGTGGCGTCATGAATATGCTTGTTGCAATTTTTTTGAGACAGAATTTTCATGTCCGTCACAAATTTGCGATGCAACATTTGTGAAGGAGTTTCTTCACAAATTTGTGACGGAATTTGTTGTCACAAAGGCAT